TTCCTCATCTTACTGGCATCTCTAGGTCTGCAGTTCTGCCCTTAAATTTTTTTCTCACTCAGTTTTTCCATGCGCCGCCATCTCTTTGCCCCTTTCTCTTTCTCTCCCCCTACTACCCTCCTTCAGAATTTGTCTTTGAGATTCTGTACCCTCAAGTGATAACCACAACACCCCCACCCCACTTGTCTCGACCCAGTAACTAGAGTAACTCTCTTCCTCAGTAGGGTTGTTCCTGAGGCAGCTTGCCGCCAGCCCGTTGCTCTCCCCTGACTTAATTAGCTATCAGCAAAAAAACGGCAGAGATGCCCTGTGGCTTTGATTCCCTAACTTTTGCAGAACACCGTTTAGGCTGAGCTCAGCAGAGGCCATGGCAATTGTCGCTGTGCTTCATTGGGAACAGCACACACATAGCTGTTGAAAGTCCAGAGACTCACATTCCAGTGCAGATCCCGTGGGGAGCCGTTGGTGGGCTTGGTTAACAAGCACCTCCGTGTCCCCAGCAAGTCTGAAGGAAGACCACACTGGTTGAACACTCTTTCAGCCAGAGTGTCTCCAGTGTCACTTGTCCCCAAGAACTGTGTTTAGGGTTCTGATAAAGGAACTTAGAAATATACTGATGTACACCCACCCCCAACCAAGGTCCTCTAAAACACAGACCCAAAGATGTTCAGGTTTAAGATTGTCTGTGTCCCCAGTGGATACGATCTGAGTGCAGGAGGTCGGGTGACTGAGAAGACAAATCTATTCTGGCCCCTTCCATCCCTCTGTCTGGCTTTGTGGGCTTTGAGGCTTTCAGGGCATTCCCAGATCTGTGGTCACTTTTGCCTGTTATATTAGGTGGGGGACAAGATGCTAACCTGGCGAGGGCACCAGGCAAGAGATTGCTTTCTTCTAGTGCATGCACTGGGGAGGTGACTACACCCCAGCCTGTGGAAATCCAGGAAACAGGGTGTGTGGGTGAGAGGAAGAGAGCGAGGCTAGGATTACTGTGTGGGTGGCTGCGAACGAGAAAGAGATGGGAAAAAGAAAGGAGAAGAGAAAGCGGTTCTGCCTGCATGTGGGTGTTTGATGGTGGATGGGCAAGAGTGGCCGTGCCTGGAGGACAGGCCGTGGGTGAGAGAAAAGGATATGGTTTAACCCTTGTCTACAGGAAACTGTCCTTGTGTGACAACACGGACGTGTGTCTGCGTGACTTGAAGCGGGATGAGAGTCATACAAACAAACCTGAGACACTTGTCCACATGCACCGTGTGATATGAGGAATAAGGGGTTGTTGGGGGGGGGTATGCCACTGTCTGCCCATTGGACATATATGTGCAGGGTTTGATGACATTCACACATGTATAAAACTTAAAAGGTCATATACAGGCGAATGTTTGTCGAGAATGTGGTCTGTCTACACTGTGGTGTACACATATGTTTATGGATGTATGTGGTATGTAAGTTTGATCGAACAGCACAGGAAGGTATAAGTGAACCTGTGTGCAGTGCTCTACAATGGCGTCTTCCTGTTAAAGTCACCAGGGTGTGGGGCTCCCTGCCCAGCCTCCTGTGCCATCTGCTCTTTTCCAGAAGCCTAAGGGACAGGGCCCTTGACCATGGCTCTTTGACCTTGACCAGACTCTGTCAGCTCTCTGCCTAACAAAATAGATGTGGTTCATTTTCTCTACTTAATCAAGATGGGTGTGGTCAGGGCAGACTCACTTTGCCATCTAGACCCATACCCCCATTCTCCTCCCCATCTGAGGCTCCAGGTAGTATCTATTACAGTGGCAAAGGCCCAGAATCCTCTAGGTCGCCCTCCCCAGCAAACGGCCACTTGCAAAGGAGAAGCTGGGTCAGCCGTGGCTCACAGGTCTCCCTGTTACATCTGAAGAAGAGGACTGCGACTTGGCTGGGTCGCCCACCCACTTTCAGAGCCTGAACAACCATTTTCCAGCCCCAGGTGGGTGGAAGAACACAGCCTGCTTCCTTGTCTCCATGGAAACAAAGCAGCAGAAAGAGGATTTAGAAGCCTGGGTCCAAGACCTCACAGGGTTCAAATCTCAACTTCTCCACCTACAAGCCGATGGACTGCAATTTGGCAATTCTCTTAAATTCTGTGAACCTAGTTTCCTCATCTGTAAAACAAAGACAAGAAAAGAACAGAACTGGGTGTGGAAGACACACTTTGTGCCCCAGCAGGGGAGAGGCAACAGTTCAAGGTCAGCACAGGTTCCTTGGCAAATTTCAGGACAGCGGGATTACTTAGCAAGACTGCTTCAAAATAAAAAGAAAAGAAGAGGGGGAGGAGGAGGAAGAAGAGGTGACAGCAGTGGCAAATCTGAATTCCGTGAGCCTATTCAGGGGATGCAGTGAAGTAATCTGTATAAAACATTCAACACGGAGCCTAGCATCTGAAAAGAGAAGCCTGGGTTTGCAGCCTTTAATTGTGCTACCAATTTGCTGGGTGACTTTGTACACGTGTCGTTTTCGGTTTCTCTCCTGCTATAGCCATCGACCCAGCAGACTTGATCCCCTGTCAGGTACAGTCGACTGAGACCGTGTGGAGAGATGGCTACAGAGTGGATCTCTTTCGTGGACCATCTAGTGCTTGGCAGAGGCCTGGTCACTTCCCTATATCAGACTTCTCTCGGTCACTGGTGACACAGAACCTGAACGTGAGGCTGCAGCCCCTTCTTGCCTGCCAAAGGCCTTGCTCTGCCCAGCTCAGCTGGTACCAGCATCCACTGATTCCAAATAAAGGTCTGCAAGGTGCCCCAAGCAGAAGATGAATGGCTTGGACTTCAGTCTGCCAGGCAGCACTCCAGAAAAGTCAGGTTTAATAGCGGAAGGATGGGTGTGATTGTCTGAAGATGCCTATGATCCACTCTCTAATGAGAGGAAGCTTGGAGAGGAAGCCCTAAGCTGCTAATAACCTGGCAGCTTCCCAGACTTCTTCCCTCAGACTCTCCAGGCAGAGGGAAGGGACCTGCCACTCCCCAATCCCTAGGGAGTAGGAAGACCACTGAGACTTGATCCAAGACCACCCAGATTTCCACTGCTTAGCAAGACCCAGCTTCCTTTGAGAAGTCTTGCCTCTCCCTTCTTTCTCTCCTCCTGAGGCCACTCCTGCCCACTTGGGCCCTAGAATGCTCGGAACAACTGGATGGACCATAAAGAGACAAATGAATTGGGCTGTTCCTGAAAAGGATACACCAAGTCTCTGGGCTGACAATGGCTGTGCGTCTTGGACAGATGACTCGAATCTCTGAGTCTCCATTGTCTCACCTGCCCTTCTTTGGAAAGCTACAGTAAGACAGGGAGTGAGATCCCACCAAATGACCCATAGCCTGCGAGATGCCAACACGGTCATTAAAAGTGATCTTTTCTCCTCACCATCCCACCCATACCATTCCCGGGCATCTGCAGAAAGCACGATTTCAGAACAGAATCATAGCTAATAGCCCAAGGCCCTAGGACAAACAACCATGGCTGAACAGGCTCGTCACATCCTGGGCAAGTCACTTGCACAGCCGAGCCTCCATCTTTCCTCTACGTAATGGGCTCTGCTGCGAGACTGCAGCAAGCCATACACAGAAGCTGTTAGCACAGCAGCCTCTGCACAGAGCTCATCCAATGGCAGTTACGCTGTTCAGCCAATAATGATCGCCTCCATTTCACTTTACACACCTACCCAGAGCATTGTAAATTTTCCAAAACATAGCTACAGCTGAAATTGTGGCACCCTTTCAACAGCTCCCGTTTTTAGTCTATTTTCACAGATGGAAAAAAATGGTGAGCTCACCAAAGGGACTTGCTAGGGCTTGACTACCGAGCACTGGGCTGATGGTACCCCGTCACCATCACCCCTGCCTCCTGACCCAGCTGTGGCCCAGGTAAGGGGAGGGAACAAGTCACAATGGTCCTCAGGTTCATTCATACTCAGGCTGACTCTGAGGTCCTCCTCCCTGTTTAGAGGCTCTGCTGGCCCCTCACTGCTCCTGCCCAGCTCTCTGTAGAACCCATGCCTGGGCAGAGACTGTGACCAAATGAGATGATCAGATCCCGGAGAGAATTATTGCCGAGAGCAGAGTGGGTGAGAAGGCTGGTGAGGTGCCAGCTCTGGCGTCAGCAACACCTGCAGAGAAGTGAAGTGCTCCTTCACTCTCTTGACGCACAAGCCCTCCCAGGACTGTCCCACACACACACTCTGCACCCTAGGGACCTGCTGGCATCAGCTCTCCTGCCTGGGCAGATGATGGCTCAGCTCACGGCCAACCCCACCCGCAGTGTGAACCCACTACAGCGTTTCCATTGGCACTAGCCAGCTGTGGAGGCGATTCGAAGTAGATTCCCTTGCCTATCCTGTCTGCTCTGCAGACTCCAGCTCTCACTGCCCCCCTCCCCAGGAGAAAATGATCCTCCTCCCTCCACAAGCTGTCGCTGGAGCTTGTTGCAATCCAGGTGACAAGGCTTCTGCCTTTGTCATTCATCTCCGACAGATGGAGAACTGAGTAAGGACCCTTTGCCTAGCTCAGCCAGCAATATGCTGAGTTACCCAGAGGAACACTCTCCTACTCTTGAGTCTCAGTTTCCCCACTAAGGTCATCTTACATGGAAGGCTTCAGTCTCGCCCTGCCAGTGCCTGGGAGGCAAAGGCCTCTCTGTCAGGGTGTTTGTCTAGAGCCGCTGAGCTCTGTGGAGTTAATGAAAGGGGCTCTGCCGGGGCCAGTTGCTTGGGACTTCACAGCCAATTGCTACAATGGTTAAAGGGCAGCTGAGAGGGGCGAGTGAGATTTTTGTCAACCAAGTGAGAGATGGACTTTCTATTGGTGCCTTCTCATTGACAAAGAGCTGGAAATACCCATACTGCCCAGGTGCCCACTCCCACAGCTGGAGAGACTCGCTGGAAGACTTGTGATCACTGTCAAACAGCCTAGGAAAACAAGCTTTAAGAGTCCCTGATTAAGAGCCTGTGGGGTTTTCTATGACCCTAGGGAGAAGAGATATAAGCTTACCTGGTTTCTGGGCCACCCTGGACCCAGGGCTGGTGTTACCACTGACTGTCATCACTTTCCGGGCCTGTACCACAGCCCAGTCCTGGCTGGTCCCGTCACTGTGCTGGAACCCACCTCGTGCCTCCCTGGAACAGCTGGATGGCTGGATTATGTCTGAGACTCTGGATAGCTGTGGTGTGCCGTGGCTGGCTCTGTGTCTGCTGGCCGCATCTTCTTCCAGGTCCGCAAGCCTCCCCTCTCCCTGCTGGCCGTCTTCGCTGCTGCTCTCCTCAGCTTCCAGAGCCAGGCACCTGTAGCTCCCGTCCGGGATCTGGAAGGTGCAAGGGGCAGGCCTCCCCTCACTGGGTCCAAGGGTTGGGGGTGGGAAGTGAGGGCCCAGCATTATGGTCCTCTCCTTGGTAGTACAAAGCAGCAGCTCCCTGGAGCAGGGTGGGTGGTCCGTGTGAGTACCGCTCCTCACTCCCCTTGAGGCCTCCTTGGGTTCTCTGCAGAGTCACCTTCTGCTGCTGCTGCACAGGGCTGGAGTGAGGTCCAGAGGAGGGATGAGACGAGTCCTTTCTGGGCTGGGTGAAGATGTTGGAGTCCTCCAACACTTCTTACCCTCCTGAGCTCTGCTATGCAGGGCCCTTCAGCGCGATCTATCTGTATAGGAAGAGACGATACCATACATCAGAGAGCTCACTGAGTATTCTGAATGGAATCCCTGAGACCTGTCCACTCCTGGGTACCTCAAGAGCTGGGTGGGATCTGGGGTACAATTCCCACACCTCCACAGGAAAGTGTTCCCGGAGGTTCTACCTTGGAGTATGCCATTCACGCCCTATCCTTAGGCTACCTGACACTTATTTACTTAATGTTTCCCTTCAATCCACTTTAAATAACATAATTTCTATTACTTTAGAATTATCTTGAGCAATAATTGCAGGAAAACCACAAGCATACAGTGCCAAGTCATTCTCTTCCCTGTGCACATTAAATAAATATCTTGTTATTTTAAAGCACTTGTGAGCACCATGTAAAAAGAATTCTTTCACGTCCCACCAAAGGTATACACACCGCACAAGTCACAGGGACGGTGGGGTAGGGGTACACAAGTATGGTACACAGCTGGTTATAAGAGTCAACACACACGAAAAAGAAAATTTGCCAGGCAGTGGTAGCACCTGCCTTTAATCCCAGCACTCGGGAGGCAGAGGCAGGCAGATCACTGTGAGTTCGAGGCAGTCTGATCTACAAGTGTTAGTTCTGGGACAGGCTCCAAAGCTAAAGAGAAACCCTGACTCAAAAACCAAAAAAAGAAAAAAGAAAAAAGAAAAAAAGCCAACACAATGGTTTGCTTATGTGTGTCCAGACTTTGAGCGAGAACCCAACTCTACCACATATGTGTTGATTTCTGAGTCTCCCACCCCCCATTTGTAAGATGGACATTGTAATCTAGCTTGAGCACCCCAGAATTTGAAAACCCCAAACCCCAAACTTTCTGAGCACCATCATGTAGCCACGAGTCCCAATCCCATCCTGGACTTGGGGATCAAGTCACAATAAACATATGGTACAGTTAACAAAAAAAAGCCTTGTGTAAAATGGTCTTAAGGCCGGGTATATAAAATTCATAAAACAGAAAGTAAACTTAATTTTAGACTTGGCTTCTCATCCCCAAAGCTATCTCATTATGCATATGCAAATTTTCCAAAAACCTAAACGAGTCTAAAATTTGAAACACTTCTGGACCCAAGCACTTTGGATGAGGGATCAACTCTAATTTAATCGTGCCAAGGGTTCTATGAAAAAAATGGATGCAGAGCACTGAGCACACTTTCTGAGCCATCACTTAACTTACGGGGGTTGCTCTTTCAACCCACAAACATTTATCAGGCCCCTGCTCTACTTCAGGTATCGTTAAGAGACACGTAGTGTAGATGAAGGTATGGTGTTCTGACTCATGAAGTTTTGATATTTGTTAGAGCAGTGATTCTCAATCCTCCTAAGACTGGGACCCTTTAGTATATAGTTCTTCATGTTGTGGTGACCCCCCCAACCGTAAAATTACCTCATTGCTGCTTCATAACTGTAATTTTGCTACTATTATGAATCATAATATAAATATCTGTGTTTTCTGATGATCTTAGACAACCTCTGTGAAATGGTCCTTCACCCACTAAAGAGGTACAGGTTGAGAACCACTATGTTAGGTAGCACTGTGAGTGATAATGAAAAATAGTGATAATAGTAGAATTATTTATAAGTGTTACAAATGGTGATAATCAGGAGAGGGTGGAAGCTTTCTCTAAGGGCGGAGGAAGAGGGGATGAATGGAGGGTACTCGGGCGGAAGAGCTTGGCAGATGGACAGTGGGCGTAGAGAAGGGGGAAGAATATGGGATGCCACGCAGGTCTCTGTGTTCGTGGGGGTTGGAAACAAACTGGAAAGTGCAGGTATTTGGTGGAACAGGGAAGCGTCTGATGCTTAGGTTTCCAGGGAAGATGTGCAGTGGGCAGGTCCAGGTGGGGTCCCAGAGAGCAAGAGAGAGTCCCACGGTGGGGACAACAGTTTGGAAATCATTTGAGGAGACACAGAGTGTGATATGAAAAAGCCATTTTCAGTTGAGCAGATAACCCTTAAGGCAGGGCACATTGCCAGTTACGCTTGCAGGCAGCCTTGTAGTGAATGGATATTGTAGAAAGACGCCATCTACCACTGCTTAGCCATGTGAACTCTCTATTAAGAGATAGCTAGAGGACTCGTGCGTGCATATACTCATGTACTGACTACTCCTGGCTGGTGAGGATTTATGGAAGGCTACTGGCTTGATGACAATGGAGCCGAGCCTTACCACCCATGGCCCTTAGGCCTCTAGCCCAGGCAGAGGTCAGTCATCTCATCTGTAGTAGTCTGGGTTGAGTTGCTGGCCTCTGACTGGGGCTGTGCCAGGAGAGACTGGTAGGCAGACTGGGGGATAAGTGCATTACCAGACCCTCTGGTAGGTCAGAGCCAAGCAGGGGAAGGCAAACATGAGTTCTGATCACAGAGAGAACCAAACGCCTGTCAGCAGGGCCCGGGAAGAAGGGAGCCCCCAGGACTGGGCATCCACTCCCTCCTGGGTGTTCACTTAGGCAAGCACCAGATAGATGCTTCATAGCTCATCCTAGAGGGAGGGAAAGTGAGAATTCACTAAATGAGGTGACCCAGTTAGGAATCACACCTTGCTCTGACACCTTGACCCTGAGGTTGGACCTCAAACCTGATGAAGGTGGCCTCAGATTTTCACTCCTCCCCAAGACCTTGCTTGCTTACCAACAGATGCCAGACTCCTGTCATTGAAGTCAAAGGCCTTAGATTCTCAGGAAGGGGACCTTAGATTCTGCATGAGCCTGACCAGATGCCTCCCGCCCTCTGGAGGCAGTTTTCCCCAAGGACACAGTGCAACTCAGGCAGCCAGCGCTAGAAGGACCACGGGACTCCGGCATCACAGATCCGTGATTTTCAGTACTCAGAGCCACCCACCCCTACCCTGTCACAGAACCAGATGGCAGGAGGCAGCGGGAGTGGGTGAAGGGCGGGGGCAGAGCTCTCTGACTCCCTGTGGGGGCCTCGCCTGCTCCATCTTCCCTGCTTCTGTTTTGCTGTATTTGACAGTGGCCACGGTTTCCAGGAAAGAAGAGAGAGGCGGAAAAGTTAACTTTCCGCCACCCACACAAATATTTTTGGCCAGCTTTGTCTTCAGGCTGCCAAGCCAGGAGGGAGGGGTTGGCAGGAGCACTCCAATTCAGAGCTCCCTTCCAAGGAGGCAAGGTTTCCAACCCAGGCAGGGGACTCAGCAGGGGTCCTAGCAGGCCCGGCTCTGAAATACCCAGGGATGCTCCAGAGTCACAGAAACTCAAAATCACAATAGAGGGCATTGCCTCTTAAGTGTCTGCCAGGTGCTGGTCTGAGTTCTTTACCCATAATTCTTCAGGAAGGTGGCAGGGGTGGGAGGAGTATATGGTCTGGGGATGAAGATCCTGAAGCTTGATAAATATGTAGAGTTTTGGGCAAGAAGGGTAAAAGGGTGGGAACCAGTGTTGCCAGGGTCAGGTCTCTGAGCTACCATTTTCAGCAGCTACGAACTGTGACTCCGGGAACTACACAGTCCCTGGAGATGCTGAGCCCATCCGTGTGGGCAGGAGAAGGCCAGTCCTGCTTAGCAGAGATGGAAAAGGTCCCTCCCGAGCTTGATTGCATTTTTTAAAATATATATATATATATATATATATATATATTATTTGTCATGCATACAATATCCTGTCTCTATGTCTGCAGGCCAGACATAGAGATCTCATTACAGATGGTTGTGAGCCACCATGTGGTTGCCAGGAGTTGAACTCAGGACCTTTGGAAGAGCAGGCAATGCTCTTAACCACTGAGCCATCTCCTCAGCCCGCTTGATTGCATTTCTATGCTCACACTGCCCCTATCTTGCTACCAGCTCTGAGCTCTGGCAGGGACCTACAGAGTACGTGTTGCCCCCCAGAGGGAGCTTGGAGCCCAGGTCAGGTGGCAGGTACTAATTGAACCCAGGCACCTGGATGCTCCAGACTCAGCCCCACAGCCCAGTTGGGCATCAGATGCCCTGTAGTCCCAGCACCTGCTGCCAGCTCCTAAAAGTAGAGTTCAGTATCTGTGACCCAGGGTGTGTGTGTGTGTGTGTGTGTGTGTGTGTGTGTGTGTGTGTGTGGTCCTTTGTGCTGTTTTCTGCATAGTGGAGGAAGGAAGGGTGCTGGCTGGGGGTCAGGTCTTGATTCAAATCCTGACTCTCTGTCTCTGTTTCTATCTGTCTGTCTGTCTCTCTCTCTGTGTGTCTCTGTGTCTGTCTATCTGTCTTTCTGTCCTTCTCTCTCTCTCTCTCTCTCTCTCTCTCTCACACACACACACACACACACACACACACACACGTGCGCATGCACACACTTGTGTGCTGCAATGCCCAGCCTGAACTAGCCCCCTGTGCTTCCCAGGGTGGTTGTAGGGATCTGTAGACAGAGTGTAAGCTCACTGCTTTCAGCCACAAGCTTCTTGCTTTCCAGGCCCTGTGACATTCAGGGCCAGTGACTGCCATTCACAAGCTACCATGTGGTTATGAAGGAGATGAGGGAGCGAGGGCTGCAGGAAGTAACAACAGTGTCCATCCAGGCAGGGGGCCCTCGTTCTCCCAGAGTCATCACAGGATCTGAGCTTCTCTTTCCGCCTTTTTCTAATTATATCCCCACTTCTCCCTTCTCCCTTTCTTTTGACAGAGTCTCTAGCCCACACAGGCCACAAGCTGGTTATGCAGTCAAGGACAACCTTGATCTTATGATTCTCCCATCTCTAACTCCTAGCTGTGTGCCACCAAGCCCAGTTTATATGGTGCTAGGGGTTTCGCCAAAGGCCTTGTACACGGTAGGCAAGCACTCTACCAACTGAACCACATCTTTGGCCCCTTTTTTCTTTTTACAAATCTTTTAAATTTTTTTATTTTATCTGTATGAGTGTTTTACTGATGTATATATGTGCACCACCGTGCATGCCTGGTACCCACAGAAGACAGAAGAAGGTGTTAGGTCCTCACAACAGGAGTTATGGATGGCTGTGACCCATCATGTGGGTGCCGAGAACTGAACCCG